AAATTTTACTGTATTTCCTTTTGATGATGCTGGCACGATGTATGTTTCATATAATCAACCTCTTGGACAGAAGGTTCTGATAAGAGGTCTGGCCACAGTGATGAGGGCTCACGGGCCCCCATGTTGACCTGTGGTAATTATAAACTTTCTTTTTAAAGTTCTGCAAGCAAGATAGTATAAATTTTACAGCTAGTTTAAGATTCTTCATGTGGGCCCAACGCACACAAGGTTCTGATTGTGGGACATTTGAGTTTGGCACACATCAGGGATGTTTGTCTATCAAGGAGAGAGATTGATTTCTTTTTAGGACATTGTGTTGCAGCCTTTCCAGCTTTGCTATCTGTACCAAGCTGGTCCCAGTCTTCTGCTCCACAAATAATTCAGGCCTGTCCTTTGCCTCAATAGGATTTTGAAGCATATTCTCAGGAGAATGTATCAATAAAAGAAACAACCATATTATTTAAATTTCCAAAAATGACTCTTCTGCTGATTATCCACAGCCCATCAAAATTAACTGGGTTTTCTTCTGCACAGCAGGCTTTGAGTTTTAAGATCTGTAATATTTAAAGTTTCTTTCTGGAAACAGTCATTGGGTTCAGATGGTAACTTCTAAAGGCCTATAAAAGATAAGAGATAATAAAACCAGAGCAATGGTATAGGATGGATTTTTTTGAAAGATGATTAAAGAGGCAAAAATTCCAGCTGCAAAACTTTTTGATGTCAATAGCCTTTGAGGGTTCTGAGGAGTTAATGAGACAATGCAGCTGAAGGCACCTTGCTTGCACTGTGCCTGCGGCGGGGCAGGCAATCAGAAACGTGAGGTAAACCTGAAGTTGAATCTGGCTAACAAGACATCACCTGTCAGGGAATCAGACATCCTTTTATTCAAACTGTGGTTGCACCATCCAGTCGTTGAAGCAAAAAAGACACATGAATTGAATTGATTGCCAGATAAAGTGTGCCAGGTTCGACTGCCTAAGTCAAGAATGTCAGCTGGATTGACAGAAGGTTGGCAGAACCCTATCAAATTTGCTTGGCGAATTACGTCACTGATGAGCAGCAGTGGACAGTTGTTCTCGAATGCAGTTTCCAGCCTTGATGCACATGCGAACTTAAAGCAACCCACTGTCTGGACCCACCTGCGGGGATTCTGATGTGGTGAGTCTGGGTGCTCCCTGGTCATGGGTTTTGGAAACACTCCCCAGGTGACTCTAATGTACAGCCGAGGGTGAGAGCCAGCTAATCTCTTATTTAATCATCTCCAGTGTTACAATTTATAACCCAGAAGCTATAGCTATGAGATCTGTGACATTGTAGGCTGTCCACCTAATAACTACCCTTTTCTTTCTGATAGAATTCTGGTTTTGTTCTTTGTCTCCCCTCCCCTGAGCATCCAGGGGCTATTAAGGTACACTTCATACCAAGCACAGGGTGAATCATGAGCTGGGGTTTCCCCACGTGCATTGTTGACATTTGGAGCTGGGTAATTCTTTGTGGTGGCAGCTACGCTGTGCATTACAGAATATTTAACAGCATCCTTGGTCTCTACCCATTAGAGAAGCACCCCAGATCCTCAAGTTCTGCCAACTGATAGATGAGAATCACAAGACTCAATCTGTCACTTGCCAAGGATTGTTTGAGGCACGGTCAATGGGGGTAGGAACACCTTTGGGAAAACATTTTCTTCACTCTCCAAGAGACAAAGGGAAGGAGGAAGGCATTCTCTTCCATGAAATGCACCAAGATGATAAAACTTGGGTCTTTGAAGGTCTTGTGGTGTGGCATCCACTTTCCCTGGAGCTGCTCTCCCCTGGGGCTTCTTGCCTTATGAAGCAATACAGACCCCTTTCACCTACAGGGCTGTGCTTTTTGTTACTTGCTGCTAAATGCTTCCAAATGTCTTGATCCTGAATCCAGGTTATTCTTAATTATTTGGAAACAATAATGCTCCTCTTTGGAAGGTAGACATTTTGCCATTCACCAATATGATTAATTGGTCAAAACGTGTCCACAAAGTAGAAAACTATAAACATACCACCAACATTATGACCATAAAGCAGGGTAGCATCTACGTGTCATGCACACGTATGTGGTATAAAAGCATGCTTTGGCCTTGCTCAAGGAGAGAGTAACAAAAATTACATTTCACCAGTGGTACTAGGGATGCAGAGAGGCAGATAGATGTTCTGTATCCGTGTAAATCTAGTCCTAGGCAGATGTCCGAGGAACCTCCAGGCACCTCTCTTGGTGAAAGCCTCAGTGTGTGAGAGCAAAGCATTAGAATTGATTCTTTTAACAGTTAACTTGACTTGTAGCAACAAACTCCTCTCCAATTTCCAAAATGATTTGCAGGGTCGATGAGTGTAATGTTCAATCACAATCCCTCTGGTTTTGATTTTGGGCAGTGACACATCCCCACCCTCGCTGCCAATTTTCATTGAGTGAAAAAAAGTTTTAAAGAGGCTGAAGCTAAAAGCAGACACTTAATATCATTAATAGGAAACTTAGATTCCAGGTGATGCTGCCTGGGTACCTTAAGGCTTCTGTACTCGTCATCTCTTTTCCTTTTTAAACAGAGTGACCTGATAAAATAGTAAGCAAATAGGTCACTGGGGGAGAGACATTTTTCCCTCTGAGGTGGGTCTCAAGGGATAATTTTTGTGTGAGAAATGATGGGGGTGTTACCAAGGAAACAGATGTGAAAACCAGTAGCTAGTACTCCCTGTGGTTCTGTGAAGGCAAACATTTGAGAAACCGAACTTCATTTGTTTCTATAGTTGTTCTCGAATAACCTACTTGGGGGAAGGCGGGGCGCGGGGCCTTAGGGGGTGGGGTAGGCGCTAGTCCAGGAGCTCATATTTCCTAACAGCCCTGAATAGTTTCAATTATGAATTAAAATGCGCATCAAGCATTTTATTATTATTTAATTTAGGTCATGTTTTAATGAAAATGCAAAATCAGCCTTTTGAAACTGAATTTCAAGATTCGAGGTAGTGGCTTGATGATTCCCAGGTAGTCCTGAAATAAATATTCGGAAATCTTAGTTTTTATAAAAAAGTGGACAAATCACAGCCAGGAGCAGGCTCTGGGGCTAGACACCTGTGGGTAGAGATCCCAAGGTCACTGCTTCCAGCTGTGTGACACCTTGATTAACTGATGCCCAGCACTGGGTTCCTTCTGTTCAAACCAGATACAAAACTAACTCAGGGTTGTCAGGAAGATTAAGCCAAATCATGTGAACAAAATGCTTAGCACAGCAGAGTGGTTTATAATAAATGCTTTCCATAGGTGCTAGCTATGACTCATCATTACCTGTTGCTAGGTAATTTTCAGGGGGAGATCTGACAACATATTGTGCAAATGCCTCCATTTCAATCTAATTAGAACATAAACTACAGAATACAAAAAAAGGAGGACCATAATTATCCATACAAGAAAACTTTGATTTACAAACAGGATGTGAAAAAAGTTCATTTTAAGTTGTTTGGAGGACTCTGTCCCCATAGCAACAATGCTCTAAGCATGGTTAGGATTCCAAGGACTCACAAAGGCAAATTAACCTTTCATTACTTGAAATACTGTGTTTATTTTGATAAGGTCAAACATGATAGTACTTTATGAGAAATCAAACAGCAGAGAAACAAAATCGATAAGATTAAAATATTTAAAATCGTGTGGCTTGAAGGAAAGTAGGAGTAACTAGAAGTCAAGAGAGGAAGCTGGTAGGGCCTCTGGGCCTGGAAGATGAGGACATTTAATCAAATGTGAAGTTGTTTCGCTTGTTTCAAGTGCTTCCATACTACTTGGATTTATTAGCCCTAAGTAGGATCTTCATTGGCCTTTAAATGAACCAAAAAAAAAAATAGATGGAGAGTAAGAGAGGCAGACATTTTCCTGCACAAAAAGATCAAGCCTCAAACTAGAAAGGGGCAGTGTCGAAAGCTAAGCAGGGCTGGGCATGGTTAGTACTTGGATGGGAGACCACCTAGGAAGACCAGGTGCTGTAGGCATAAAAAATAAGGGATTGTAAACTGACAAGGTCCTTGCAATCTGTGAGGTCAACCAAGGGTTGCCTCGCCTAAAATAAATAAATAAAATACAATAGAATAATAAATAGAAAGGGGCATTGCCAATTCACACAAACCCAGGCCACGGCTCGAAGCCTTCATGCAGTGGGTTTCACCAAGCAGAGGCTACAGGACAAGCAGGGTGTATGCAACCCTGGGGGTAAGTAGCTGTTTCTCTGGGGATTGTGCCAGAAAGGTTGAGACTGGCTGGGAGGCAGTGGCCGTGAGTGTGTGTGAGTGTGCGTGAGTGTGCGGGGGGGGGGGTGAGTGAATTTAGGCATCCGCAAAGCTAAAGCTTTGCCTGGAGGCTCAGAGTTTTAAAAGGATAAGTGAGTACTGGCAATGCAGGCCTCCTTTATAAACTGAACTCAAAGCTATTATTGGATTACTTTAACTGGTACCTACCTCCCTATGAGTATGGTATTTTACACCACACTAGTTCAATGAAATGTTAATTAGGTGCTAAGTATTAAAAAGATCCTTGGCCAAATAACTTGGAAACTGGCAGGTGACAAAGTGAAATCACATTTCTCGGCTCTGGGACCTGAGAGACTTAGATATGCTAATTTGCATTGTGAATTTTTATGAAGTGGATCTAGTACAAGGCAAGTTTTCTAAACCCAAGTGACCATGAACCTTTCTTTTCTGGAGCTTTTCCGGGACAAGTGTCCCAGGGAACACACTTGGAAAAGGTTTCTGTCTCGAAGACATAAAACATCAGCTCTCCAGCATCTGTCAGGGTCCACCAACCCTACAGTCACTGAGGCTTCTTGCAACACAATCTCCACCCACACTTCCCATTCCCATTTTGCCTTTGGTTATTTGTACTTAATCCTTCCAGAGGTTTTGGCCCATAATCTAATATGGTGTGTGCATTTAATCAGAAAACAGAGAAAACCAAACGAATCATTTTTGACACAAAAGAGGCTTCAATAGCAGGATTTCAGGCACCTTTATTCATGGCAGATAGTTTTGGCCAGGGAAGCCTGCCTCGGGAATCTTTCCAGCACTCAAGGAAGCCAACTCCTAAGACTCCGACTAACCTTCCAACAGCAACTGGCCGTATCAGTTCCAGTTGCCATATACTAGGCTTGAAAACTTCCTGCTCACAGGTCTCAGCTGGTTCGTTAGAGTCCAGCAGGCCTCGGGCTTTCAGGGCGAAACCTTGCAGAACGACCTGCTCATCAAAGGAGTTCCGCAGCTGGGTAATAATAATGGTTAAATCACTTTATCACAGAATAAATTTTCTCCTTTGTGATCCCCATATAATTTATAAATAGGACAAATAATTTCTTAATATCATTATATATTTGCAATACAATCAAGACTGGTGATATAGCAAACCAACCAACCACTCCGTGTTAAGGGTTTTCCTCTCTGAAGCGCAATGCCGTTCCTCAACTTTTCTATTTTTTTCTGTACAAAATCACTTTGTGGTGACAGTCGCATGGATCTCCTTCACAGTCAATACTGGACTCTAGGCTTAGCACTCCTGACATTACATTCTTGAGTGGCAAGAGTTATTATCCCTGTCTTCTATAATCAATAATTACTCTGCAAGATTTCAGGGAAGAAATAGTTTAAAGAAACTGCATTTCTTAAAATTGAGCCTACTACGGGTCATTTATTATGTTTTAACAAAGCAACTGGCACAGTCTTAATATGGCCTTTTTTCCCTTTTCTGTTTATTTTCCCATTCAGTAGCTCAAAGAAAAGATGGAACAATTGAGTTTTAAAATCCTGCCAGATTTTCTATGGTAACTATTGCAGATGAACAACGTCAGGTTCTACGGAAGTATTCAAATCTCATGCAAAACTCTAACTAATGAATGCCTCATTACGTTAGGCAATTCTGTAATTTTCCGAATTTAAAAATTCTCACACTAAAGTGGCAGTGGTTACTCTTCACTACTTTAGCATCTGACTTCAGGGATTTAGACATAAAATTATGACTCATGTCTGAGTTCTGGCAACATAGTAGTACCAGGCATTTCTAAATAAACAATTTGTAAATGTTTTTAACCATTTGAAAAGTACCACCAACACACTATTGGTGTTGTTAGCTCAACAGTCACTCTGTGTTGAGAATTAAAGAACCTTAAACTCTGTAAATGTCTTACTTCACAAAGTCTAATTGTAACAGAAGGATCTACTACATGTCTAATAGAAACAAATTACACAGCAACTTTTATCAAACATCCATCACTACAAAAGGAATGATAGGAAAAAAATGATTTCACAAAAATACACTAAAAATTTTGACAATTTTATGCAGGAACCACCAAAGTTATAGTGTTTGATATTTAATAGCACAACTGACCAAGGTCCAAGAGAAGTTATCACGTTCAAGAAACTGGGGGTAGTCACTCTATAAACTAACTATATAATATGTGATAAGAAGAATGCAAACTTTATAATATAAAACCTGTCTACACATAGTAGTTAGTTGCAAAAAGCCATTCGGTCTTCTCTTGGCTTGTAAAAACAATGTTCCAGATTTCAGTGTAAATTAGCAACCTATTGAAAAAGGAAAAACCATTAACATGTTATTTATTAAATAAGGACAAAAATGATACACAGAATTATCAACTAAGAAATCCTTTCAGAATCCTCTACTGAACTAAATTTATTTTTATTGCATAATATTCTAGCAAAAATACAATAGATTTAATTGGGAATCTTTATTGAAAAAACTTCCAAATCTATTTCCTACTTCTACTCCTTTCTTCGTATCATCCCTGTCACTTGTAAATATTCAACCCTCAAGAGGTTATTCGCATTCATTCAATGGGATTTTTGACTGTCATATAATGAGACCTAGAGAAGCTTCTAAGACTGAAAGGACATTTTCCAAATTACCTCTATGTAGGAATAAAGATGACAACCCACACAAAACAATTATGTGATTTACTCATACAGAGAATCAACCCAATGTATTGTTAAGAAAATAGCAAATATAAGTCCTTTACCTCCTAAGACTCTATTTTCTTATACTTTAACACAAACTGTATTTCAGTTATTTATAATTTGGTCCAGCCAGGATATACTCAGAAAATATAAAAGGAAGTTTTATCTTTTACTGTTATGTTCTGCTTGATACTCTAGTTATCTAAAAATCCTCAGTAAACTTTATTTTTATAGGGAATTAAAATGCTAAAAATGGGAGAAAGGGGAGTTTAAAAATTAGTTTTTGGTTGCAGTGTGGTAACCACTATTCTCATGAAAAAGATTATAATGAAGAACCCACTATGGTGAGCATAAGGCAGCCAACTGCGCAGCTATCTTGCTATGTAGGTATTTTTTATTATTAGTCTTTCCTCTGATATCTGAAACTACACAGTGGAAATTTAAATCAATTCTAAGGTGAAAGCTTAATGTGGCCATAATTTAGTTCACTAAGTCATAACCAGTTATTATCCTGGCATTTATCTAATACAGAAAGTGTTCCCAAAAGAATCTTTAGAATTTAAGGCATTTATGAAGGTGGAAATGTGGGTGCTTATCGTAAAGGAAAAAAAAAAAAGCAGTGAAAAATCTGCCAGTCATAAGAATTTGCAAGCCAACAAAACACATTTGTTTTTAGCTATAATGATATAAACTCAGTTGTAACCTAATGTTAACCAATGGGGATATACGTCTAATGAATAAAAACTGGGAAAATGACTATATCAAAATTATACTGACACACACCATATTTATATTGTCTTTTTCCTCACCTTCAACTCTTTTGTGTAGCAGGTATCTTGTTTTCACCTTCCAGTTCTTCCACCCCAGCCTGTGTCATGAGGTCTGCAATGTTTTTTTCCAGGTCATCAATGCGACTACTCATATCATCAAGTGGTGAAGTTAAAGATGACACACACCACCATCTCCCGTTTCTATCCTTTACCTCCAGGGCCCTGTAGACTACCGCCTTGAACACAACTGTCTTCATGAAACTGGTTTCCCAGTTTCCTTTGGATACTGTTATAGTCATGTGTCCTATAACGACATTTCAGCCAACAATGGACCACATACAGGACGGTGGTATACCATATAGCCTAGATGTATACAGTAGGCCATACCACCTAGGTTTGTCTGAAATGCACTCTAAGATGTTTGCACAATCATAAAATCACCTACACATGTCTCAGAATGTATCCCGTTGTTAAGCAGAGTATGTCTGTAATCTGGTGGTTACGAATACAGGAATCTGGGGCAAGGAACAAATTCCAGCCCCACTAGCGATGAGATCTGGGCAAGTTCTTTTTTTTTTTTTTCACTTTTCTAGCCTTCCGTTTCTTCATCTGCTAAATAAAGGTAACACTATCATCTCTTCATCAGGTTATGGAGATATACACATAAAATGTTCAGATCACATGTCAATCATATTATACATTATTATTGGTAACTGTAAGTTCCTTGCCACTGGGGACCTAGTTGAGCTGTATCCCCAGCTCTCTCTGCACAGCACTTGTCAAGAAGAGTACATTCAAACTCAGTAAAAAATCTGGTAAATGACTGGCTGAAGTTGGCCCGCACACTACCCGTTTATCGACACCACTGCGGGAAAATAGAATCCCAAGAACCCGAAGAGGCTGACTATAAATACAAAGGATATTTCTTCCAATGATCTGGTCGGACATGGTCTGAAATTTATCTTGCATCTGTTGCAGGAGTGTCTGCACCTATGAAACAAAACAAACAAACAAAACACCCAACGCGTACCCTGAGACACCTTCATGGGATGAGGATAGCAGCCCTGGTCTCAGAGGGAGACTAACATCCTGAGTTCCAGCCCCATTTCGGCCTCTTGGCGGCTTCGTGGCCTTCAGCAAGGCATTTCTCTCCCCGGGTTTCAATTTCCCCATCGGTCAAATTAGACGGATGGGTTGGTGAAGCCGCTCCCCGTATGGCCCCGCTGCCATTCGAAATTCGTTAGGTGTTTTAGTAGTTTTTGACGGCTGGGAGTCATCGGAGTGTGAGGGAGGAGCTGAAGGGTGGAGTGTGTGGAGAGCTGATGGGTGTGGGACTGGAAGCTGGTGGGGACCAGGCGGTCACCCGAGGGGCGCAGTCCTAGAACAGGTGAACGGGGATTAGAGGGTTTTCGGGCCTGGGAGAGTCAGTAGGCCCAGGGACCTACACCCAGCGGTCCAGTGAGTCAAGTTGGCCGCAGGCCTCCGCAGGCGAAGCCTCTAGGAACACGGATTCCAGAGACCGGGCCCGACGCGGAGAAAGTGCCTGGATCCGCGGGCCTTGCCATCGCCGCCCGGGGATGCCGCGGCCTCGGGCTCGCACAGTCGTCCCTTACCACCGAGGTGAGATCCTGCACGGTCTTGGGGTCAGTCTCGGCCATCTCCCCGGTTCCCAGCTTGGCGGTGAAGTCTCAGACCGTCACCGACACTTCCGTTTCTCCGCGCAGACGCCCCTAGCGACTCCTTCTCGCGACGACAGAGGCGGGGCGTGCGACCGCGGGGCGTTGTGGGAGCTGTAGTTGGTGTCGCGCGCGGAAAGGCCTGAGGTCTCGCGCTTCCGTTCCGAGAGAGACCCCGC